TTTCAGACGTTCTACTGCACCCAACGTTTCTCTCTCTCACTGGCAGTGACAGGTGGGACTACTCAAACTTAACGAAGTAACAAACTCTCCGTCAAACGATTTCTTTTTCCATACTGACATTTTCACATACACTTAACGGGCGTCAGATAATTAAACACGGCGCCGTTTCTCCACCATCGCCGCCAATAATGGCCTCCTCCCTCCTCCCGCCAAAAATTCCCTCCATCTCTTTCTCCTCCTCCGCCGCCGCACCCCGGCGAATTCCTCGCCGCCAACTCGTCCGGGCAAAGATCCGCGAGATCTTCATGCCGGCACTCAGCTCAACTATGACAGAGGGGAAGATCGTAAGCTGGATTAAATCTGAAGGCGACCACGTGTCCAAAGGCGAATCGGTCGTCGTCGTCGAATCCGACAAAGCCGATATGGATGTGGAGACTTTCCACGGCGGAATTCTAGCCGCCATCCTCGTCAGCGAAGGCGAAACCGCCCCAATCGGCGCGCCGATTGGGCTATTAGCCGAAACAGAGGACGAAATTGCCGAAGCTAGGGCTAAAGCCGCCGCCCAATCATCACCAATAGCCGAGCCGGAGAAGGTGGTGGCTAATTTGGCTGCTCCAACGGCATCTCCTCCAAAAGCCGAAGCTATTTCTCCGGCGAATCCAGGATCGAATATAGTACCGTTTACCAAAATGCAAGCTGCCGTGTCGAAAAATATGGTAGAAAGTCTAACTGTTCCGGTTTTCAGAGTAGGTTACTCGATCGCCACCGATGCACTCGATGACCTCTACGAGAAGGTAAATTTGTTTCTAGATCGTCGATTTCGTCGCAATGTCGTCACTTTTCGTTATTACGAAATCCTCGACAAATTTGATAGGTGAAGTTGAAGGGTGTAACGATGACAGTATTGCTAGCGAAAGCCGCAGCGATGGCATTGGTTCAGCATCCGGTGGTGAACGCTGCTTGTAGAGACGGAAAAAGTTTCGTGTACAATACGAAAATAAATATTTCGGTGGCTGTCGCTATAGAAGGTGGATTAATCACCCCTGTTCTTCAAGATGCCGACAAGGTATAAAAATATAGCGTCCGAAAACGTAACTAATTTTTGTTCTTGTAATGAAGGTTTCAGATAATCAAGAATTGTTTTTTTCTGTTGATGATTATAGTTGGATCTATATCTGTTATCTAAAAAATGGAAGGAGCTGTTAAAGAAAACCCGGACTAAGCAACTGCAGCCCCACGAGTACAATTCGGGTATTTATCGATTTTTTTTTTGAAGAAAATATTTAATGCAATTCTAATATTTAATTTATGTAGGGACGTTCGCGTTATCTAATTTGGGCATGTTTGGAGTGGAAACATTCGATGCTATACTTCCTCCGGGCCAGGTGAAGTACGATAATTTTGTAGCAAGAAAATCGACATTTTTATTATTATATGGTGAAGTGATGTAAATGATGAGCAGGGTGCTATTATGGCTGTTGGAGCCTCAAAACCTGCGGTTATAGCCGACAAAAACGGATTTTTCAGTGTCAAGAACACGATGCTGGTAAGTTATAAAGAATTGACGACCTCGTGATTTACTAGAACAATTTAGAGCTCGATTGAATTTTTCTTAATACCCGAAAACATATGTTGCAGGTAAATGTGACAGCTGATCACCGAATAATTTATGGTGCTGACCTGGCCGCGTTCCTTCAGACATTCTCGAAGATTATCGAGAATCCAGAGAGCTTGACCATGTAAATGAAGATTTAAGGTTTGTAAGAAGTATGAACATATGTATAAAATACATTCCTGGCTTACTACACAATTACAGATACATCATAAGTATTATTGCTGGGCACCTCAAAATCCTGCCTAGGAAAAAAAAAAAAAAAAAAAAAAATTACTGCTATGAATATTCTTAGAAGCTCGGCAACAACCAGGCACAAGCATCCGTTTATCGATACCCTAAAGCCTAATTTATATATATATATATATATATAATTATACAAATAAATTAGTTACTTTTAGAATCTGAACTAATTAAAAAGCATATAGCCCAGAAAAAAAAAGTATATCCAATTCACCAATCCAAGCTGATGTTTCTTGAAGTGTACAGCTTGTCAATGTACTCGATCACGGGAAGCGACGCGTTGATGTATCGTATCATTTCTCTCTCCACTGACTCATCTGTCACGATTTCGTTGTAATAAATTTCTGAAAATTTATAACTATTTATTATTACAAGACACTCGTAAAATTCGAACTCACCAGTTTCATTTAGTTTGAGAATAAGTTGGTCCCTTGTCGGGAGAGCATACATGCCGGCATAAACTGCAGTCCTCACCGCCCACGTGTGGTAAGGCGCGCACGTTTTCGCGTAAGCTGTTGAAGCTGCTTCTTTCAAATAGTAATCACTGTAACATAGTTAAACAATCAAATACACGTAAGTCGTAACACGCATTTTTTTGTTATGAATAAATATTTAAATATTAAAACCTTTTTTTTTTACTTACTCCGTCGACAGGAAGTTCTGAAATATAGCTCTAATGAGATCGAGACCCTGCCTAACTCTACGCAGGTTGCGTGTAAGACTTCCAGGTGTCTTCACCGAGTCGTTTTGTATATCAAAATCGATTATATTGTTAAGCGTACCGTAGCTTTCCGACGCTCCTGTAAGATCTCTTACCTGAAAACAATTTTATTCTCAATGCAAGTAATAAAAGGCAAAGCAATAGAAGCCAGATCATATTATAAAAAGGGTTTATTGCATTTAGCACCCTTGTTTTTACTCTAATTGTCAAAAAGTCCCAGTATTATAAATATTAGCAACATTCCCCCATGATCCAATTTTATTAGCAAAAATTTAGAAATCATAAAACATAAATGAATAAAAAATTACAATGTGGAAGTTTCATGCATTTTCATTCATAAACTTCTCTTCTGATATCCTCCTATTCCAAGTAATTAAGAAAATTCATGGGTTTTTTTTGCTAGTATTTACAACACTGGGGGTCTTTTAGCAATTCGCCAAAACACAGGGGTGCTAAATGCAATAAACTCTAACAAGAAATGCACAATTATCTGGAATTGATACGATCATAAACACCATGATAAAAACAGAAGATTAAATTAAAAATTGAGGATAAAAATTAACCTAACCTTAGAAATATACTCCAATTCGGCGAATTTAAAAGCGATGCCCAAACAGCCGAAGAGAATGGAGACGAGGGAGCAAGCGCCGCAGAAGGTTTTCAAATCGAGATCGAAATCGAAACCCTTGGCCTTCAATAAGGCGGAGAGATCTTCAAACGCGTCGGCCACCGCCGACAGAGGCGTTAATTCCGTGCTGTTGCTGTCCTCGAAAACGTCGTCGTCGTCGTCCATCGGAACCCTAGGATTCGTGAGAGAACCTTCGCTCCTTGAAATCAAAATCATGTTTTTTTCATTTCTTTTTTGGTCAATAATTCGATGTCAGAATTAAAATCAACTGAAACGAGAAGAGAGAGAAAGAGAAGAGAGAGAGAGAGAGAGAATGGAGAATGGAGCGAAGGGCGGAATTAATTAATTAATTAATTAAAAAAAAAAAGTGCGTACTTTTCCTCGCTGCATGATCTCTCTGTTCTTGAGAAAAGGGAGTAAAATTTCAGGGCCATGGATTTTTCTTCTTTCGCGAATTTTGCGGTTTGCCCTAAAAAATAGCAAATGAAATTACGTGATGATTGGAGTGAAACTGCAATTTTATGTAAAAAATGTAGAGGATTTTATAATTTGGATTTGATTGGTAATCGGGCTGGGGATTTCGGGCCTGCGGGTCGACACCTGTCTGTGCGAAGAATGGTACGCGGGAGCATTTTTACTTTGGCGCCATCTTGAACCAAAAGTAGCCATCGTTTTGAGTATTTGACCCTCTTTCCTTTTTCACCTTTATTACCTCTTTACCCTTTTCTTTATCGTTTGAGTAGTACATCGATAAATTAATAACCTCGCTTAAATAATAGTTTATTATGGTCTCAACTCGTAAAAATCTACTAAATTATAATTTTGATACTTTAATTTTTCGCTAAATTAATAGAATTTTACTAATCCCATATTAATCATATAAAGGTTTAACTGTACTTGTATTCTAATAATAAATGTCGGGTCAATACTAGGCTTGATAATTTGATATTTTAATTTCAATATGCCCTTTTAAATTGTGAAGAAATTTCCCTCAAATGAATTGCCCTATATAATTTTCAACTTCTTGTTGTATGTAACATAGACACAAATGATAGGCTAAACATCAATGACTTTAATTTGTCAATCATTTATATTTTCATAATACTATTATTCTAGAAATTCAATAAGACTTTTTCTAAACCGATCAAGATTCGAACCTATTGACCTAGTTGATTTTGAATATTTTTAATTCTTTTGTAGCAAGTCTTCTAAATTCTAAATTTGAGAATTTCACTAACATTATAGATTCAGAAACTGATCTCTAGCACCAAAAGACGAAATCCCTCTATCCAGAACCATAAACTGCTCTTTTCTAACACGGTAAATACATACACAAAGATCAACGTAAAAAAAAAAAAAAAAGACCAAATTCTTGATCCTACTTCTAATAAACCTTAGAACTCGTGTAATAGTAGTAATAATAATAATAATAGCAACAGAAAACACAAGTATTTGTACTGATTAAACATGGTTTGTTAGTTCAAACCCATCTTCTGTTTTCATGTGATGATCACCTTCTTGATTCCGAATCTGAATTGGCTTGAGTGTGTAGAATTTGGCGCAAAGCAAATAATAAACCAAGTTCAAAAGCTGCAAAAGTGTGATCAGCCAATAGAAATACTCCAATTTACCCCGGTTCAGATTATTATCCGGCAGCCAATTCGACCCGTCGGCCCTCGCCGTGTACTTGTGCACGAGCGTCACGAGGAGCGTGCTCGTGTAGCTCCCGGCGGAAATCGACAGCCAGAAGAGCGCGGTGGCGGTGCTCCTCATGCTCTCGGGCGCCTGGTCGTAGAAAAACTCCAGGTGCCCGATCGACATGAAGGACTCCGCGATCCCGTGGAGGCAGTACTGCGGCATCAGCCACAGCACCGAGATCGGGATCACGGCGTCCGGCCGGTCCATCAGGCCGCCGGCCGCCGCGGCCCGCTTCCGCCTGATCTCGATGAAGCCGGCGGCGAATGTGGCCAGCAGCGATATCACGAAGCCAATCCCCATCCGGGTCAGGAACGAAACGCCGCGGTCCAGGCCGGTGAACCGGCGGGCGAGGGGGACGAAGAGGCGGTCGTAGAAGACGATGGTGGCGAGCATGGAGATCTGCGTGAACACGCTCATCGATGCGGCGGGGATTTGGAAGCTCTGCGTGAGGTGCCTGTCCATGGATTTGGCCTGCTGGAGGGAGAAGGTGTTCTGCTGGGCGGAGGCGGTGATGAGGAGGATTCCGGCGGCCCATATTGGCCCCATTCTGATTAGGGATTTCAGCTCTTCGACGCGGTGGACTGTGCTGAGATTCCATGGATTGGGGGTTTTGAGGTTGTCGTCATCCTCTGTTACGACGGCGGCCTTGTCCAAGAACCTTGTTCGTGTTCGATGAAATGCCGCAGTGAGATATGTATGTATTTATTTAAGTTTGTTCAAATAAGATTTAACTAACTAACACTAAGCTAATAAACACATAAGCGATCCATGACAAGATTCGAAAACACTGAATATCCTCATACATAGAGGTGGAAATCGGATGGATCAAGTCGGGATTTAAACTTTCGAACAAATTCCAATTTCTTTCCGAAGTGAAATAGTAAAATACTAATTCCGACGAATAAAATATCGGAAAAAACAGAATTTCGGAAATTGGAATTAAAAAATCGAAAATTTTCGGATTGAAATGGAGGGGAATTTGGAAACTTGAAATTTTTAGTCACATGTAACATAAAATATATAGTCATATTGATATTATAAGTGTAATTTTTGTAAATAAAACCGGATAGCCTATTATGTTCCAAACAAATTGGAAGAATCAGGTATCAAATCTTTCAGAATTCTAAATGAAAAACGTTGTTCCAAAATCATAAATTTCCGGATTGGATTCGGCGAAGTTCGAAAATTTCGTTCCAATTTCCACCGCGACTTATACGTAGCAAGTTTAAATTTTTTTTTAAAAAGGAGACATTACTCACCTCATGCTTTCGGTGTGAACAAGTTCGCCGCCAAGAGCAATAGCACAATCAAGATCCTCATTTTCATACAACGTAGTCCAATCCGAAACCACGGCCACCTTCCTCTTCCTATAAGCCGCCACACAAACCTGCACCAGCCTCGTGAACGGGCTTCCGGAAGGTTCCAACTTCCGGTACAAAGGGTACCCAAAAACAAAAGCCGTAATCGAAAAAAACATAGCCACACTCGGAACCCCTAAACCCCACCCCCACCCCACATTATCCTGTATATAAACAATGACCGTATTAGCCACCAAAATCGATGCCCCCATGCAGAAATAATACCAGTTGAAGAATTTCCACGTAGTTGTTTTCTGCTCGGGGTCGTTTTCGTCAAATTGGTCCGCCCCGAAAGAAACTACGCAGGGGCGGATACCCCCCGAGCCGAGGGCTGTTAGTAGAAGCGAAACGTAGAGAATAGCCAGCTGGCCTGAATCTGCTTCTTTGCAGATTTGGTTGCTTTTATTACAAGGGGGTGGCCTTAAATTTGGTAATACTGCTGATAGTGTTAAACTAATCATCCCCTGTTTTTAAATTCCAAAAATTAAACATAGTTTAGACTTAAGATACTTTTTAATGTTACTGTATAAAAAGATTTATTGTAATTAGTACCCATATTATTTTATTGGCAAAATCCCCCCTATGATTTAATTTTTTTAGCACACAACCCCCTAAGCAGGGGTACTAATTGCTAAAAAAAATATCATTAGGGAATTTTTGCAAATAAAATAACATATATACGGTATTATTTAGCAATTTGATGTAACACAGGTGTACCAAATGCAATAAACTCCTACATAAAACTACATGTGCAGATGCAGATAGAGTAAAAAAATCGAACTTTAATTCTCTATGCATGAAATAAAACAGTTTTAGAAACTTATAATTCACTTGTCTTAACTAGAAAAAGATCGGAAAATACTTACTATTTGGTACACGATTGAAGCAATAGTTATGGTCCAGAATCTTCCGGCAAAGGAATCTGCGATAAAAGCTCCGAGTAAAGGAGTCATGGCGGAAGTGCCGCCGAAGTTTGTGAGGGTATTGGCTGCCTTAGTTAGTGGAAGATGCATCTCACTTGTTAAGTAACTTATCATGTTTGTTCCAAAACCAACCACAGCCAATTTCTCACATATTTCATTTGCTGCAAAAAAAAAAAAAAAAAAAAAAAAAATGATTTTGTTTCGAAACTATGATGTCTTGTAAGAAATTTGTATGCTTGTTATATATGAAAAAACGAAGAAGCGTACCGAAGATGAATGGCATAGTAATAATGCCACCTTGTTTTTTTCCGACATTCGGGGAATTCTGCTTCTTCGTTGCCATTTTTTTTTTTGTGTTAGTTATGTTGATGTTTTTAAGCATGGAAGGGATCTGTATGAAGGCAAGTATATATAGGCAGCAGTTAGTTGGTTTCTTTTTTTAATTTTTTGACATTCAGTTAGTTTCTGAATTTAACTTCTTCTGTCAGTTTTTTTCTACATTTAATGATAAGTTCTTAGCATAAATTACGGTCACCCCTGAAGTAAGATCAAATTACAGAAAATACCCATATATTTGAGTAATTACAACATCCCTCTTAACTATGAATCCTTTTACATGTCCACCATTGCGGTTTCAAATTTAGTGGAATCTTCTTGATTATGTGGAATATTCTCGAGTTTGCACTCGTTTTACCCCATTCGAGCTCCACATTTTAAAACAGGATGATCATAAAATGCGTCTCTTGGCTTGTAAATATCAGATTGTGGTGCACCAGAAATTGCATTTTTGCACAAAACGAGTACAAATTACTATATACAACCTTACACGGTATCTAAAAGATTATGTTGAATTTGACACTGTAAAAGTGGACGTGTAAGAAGATTCATAATTAAGGGGGTGGTTGTAACAGTAATAGTTTTTTTCGTAATTTGATATTATCTCGGGGCCGGGTGGCCATAATTTATCCAAGTTCTTAATTACCATGATATTTATAAATCATATATACATGCACTAAGAAATAAATAATTATTAAAAAAATGCAAAAATGAAAAGTTATATGATTCATTGAGAGAGGAGAATCGTGAAGGACAGCTGCGAGTTTTTTTCACTCAAAAGGGTTTGTGACGTCATGCAATGCTGGCAAGAAACTAAAGTTTAGCCACTTCCATTAACGAATATGGCTGGTTAGATTTTTGGGTTTTGCTTTTCATTTTATTTTATATATAAAAAACAAATTTAATTTTATAAATGATAATTACAAACACACTATATTAGGCTTCATTTGAATAAATGATGATTCTCTAAGCTCATATATATTTGCATTAGTATTTTGGGCTACCGATTTAAAAATTCAGATGCAACGCTCTCGAATATTCTTTGGAATAATAAATTTTACAAAATAAATAAATGTTTGTAAATTTTGTTCCAAATTTAAATAGCTTCAAAATATAATATATCCGAAATATGATTTATAGAGATCTTTGTGAGAGACATGTTACCAAAAATAAAATAAAAATCAACACGGACTCTATACAAACTACAATTAAACTTTTCGAGTTTTGATTTTCTAAAAACTCAATAATTTTGTCGTGATCAATTATATGATATGAGCAATATATAAAATGGTACGAAAAACTCTAGAAATTCGAATCAAAATATAAATTGAACCATCATTTGCACCAGCATAAATATATATATGAAAATGTGTGACAGATATAGATGGCAAAACTAAAGATTATCGAAATATCAAGAATTAAAGATGTTAGTCTAGGTTTGCAAGCAACCGTCCATGTGTAGAGTCTGTGTATGGACGGTTCACAATCGAATGTCGTGAGCGTTTGTGTTCGCTGAAAGCACTATTAGATTAGTGTCTGCGTCTTTCTTGACACCAATTAGTTTTAGGATAATTGATTTTATGACGCTTAGGTGATGTTTTTTTTTTTTATAATAAATTTAAGTCAAGTAAATGTGGTATATTTTAAAATAAATTCAATGAGGTAAAATGGATTGAATAGAAATATAGAATCATACCACATCATAAGATTCTGTTTCTAGCTAATCAGGTTGCATGTACATTTTTTATTTGTATGGCACCTTTTTAAGTTTATATTTGATTTCATAATTAGGCAGATTAGATATTTGAGCTTTTCTAAGAACAATAGTGAGTGGAAATTGTTTTCAAGCGTGACTTAAAGATCAAATGAAATCCATGATTGGATTTTATTTATTTAATACCTAACTTATTTAAATCGTTTTATCTTATCATAAGTATCTCGGCTCGGATTCTTTAAATTAAATTTCATAATTAACACCATCTTAATTAAAACCAAAATCGTTATCCTTGTGCAAATAATTTGTTGTTGATACTTTTTTTTTTTTAATTACGTGTCTTGAGTAGGTGTATTTTAAAAATTAAAATTGAATATGAAAATAAATTTAAATAAAAAAATTATTTTGGTAAATAGCGAATTATTAAGTATTTGATTTACACTCTATTTCATTAGTGATGTAAGCAATGACATCAGTAATTACACAAACAACATTTGGTGGAGTAAGAGAGCGCAATGCCTGATGAACAGAGTTATCTGAATTAAGTCTCTCGCTCCACTAATCAGACTACACCATGTTTAACGTTCAACCGGTTTATACTATACTATATCGGGTAAATTTTTACTACTCATGTACACATAAACGAACACACATCCACACTAGTGTGTGTAGATTAACGACAAAAATTCATCCAATGTAATCTGGATGTGGCATAGAAACGATAATTTGTCTTATGCATGGATCGAAATATATCGTTTTACGTGCGAAATACACATGTCGAATTCGCAAACCATCAATCATTTGGTCCACTAGTATGAAATGGTATGATGAACAGTTTCTGGTCACAAATGAAGACTGAAAAATCCTTCTCTCTTTCTCACTGGAAGTTTCTGTTTCAATTTTCTCTCAAATAAATAAATAAACTAATTAATTAAAAAAAAAAAGGTTTATCAGAAAAGAAAGTGGGGTGGGCTGAGAAGGACAACTGATTCTGGTCCAATTTGGGACATTGGACATAGGTTCTAAAATGGTCTCATACGCTAGCCATATCCTAAATCACTGTTCTACGTGTCACTTACTAATGGAACGATCTAGATTTTTCAATGTCGAATTTGTATATATTTAGGGGCATATTTCACATGCTTAATCATTTCATAGTTATTACTGCAACCCCTTTTAATTTTTTTTAATTTTTTTAATTAAAATTTAAAATGACAGACTGACAAGTCATTTTCTTGAGAAAAAAAAAGGGATCAATTTTACTTGATTTAGTTGTGTTAGGCGTCCTTCAAATCCATAATAATTGTTAGAATACTTGTCATAATAAATTTGATTTGTGTATTATTTTTTCACAAAAGTAATTACTAATAATAATAACCTTGTTTAAATAATAATTTATCCCAATTTCAACTCATTTAAAATGCATATAATAGAATTTTACTAGTACCGACTATATTAATTTAAAGTGGTCTAATTGAATACTTAATTAGTTAATTATCTGCACCTCACAAAGACCACGAAAACCAAGGTCGAACATAATCGAGCATTATGAAGCAAATTTAAGAATCGTCGTTATTCGAAATAAAGACGAGCAATCACAAGAAGCATGTGACAGGCAAACTCTTACACAAGATCCCGAAAAGTAACTTCACATGGATATATTATACACGCAATTTTAAACATAACAATATTATTTATAGACTTCGTTTTTCTTTTCTTTTTCAACCTATGAATTCCTGGAGAGAGAGAGAGGGCTAAACGTCTCACTATATGACCGCAAAGAAAGTCGACTGAAGTAAAAAAGAAAAACACAATTTTCAGACAGTATTGAAAGAAAATATATCCCAACTTAAAATTTAATATCATCACTCTTCAAACTCATGCATATGATCCAAGAGATAGTTTGCAGCAAGTTCTTCATTCTTGTTGCAGGCGAAGAACACCTCCAACACAAGCGCTTGATCAAATCCCATTGCCTCAAGCTAAAAAAACGGTGGAGCCAAATAAGCACAATAATCGATTTTTTATTTATTTTTATTGTGTAAAAAGTAAAATAAAAGGTGATAGTTTATATCTCTACCCTTTCTATAGATTCACGTTCCTCGGGTGTAACTTCTATAGCGTGTTGCATCCCTCCTTCTCCAAGCTGCCCAAGCAAATCTCTGATACAAAAATAAGTACCCAAAATTCAAATTTTGCGATAGTACCAAAAACATGTTTTAAAGATAAATATTTTTTTACGATAAATATGTTTATATATTTATATACCCTTCTGCGCCTTCAATAGGCTCGTTGATGAGGCGGACAAAATCAGCTTGGTGTTCTTGAATCAGCCTCACTAATTGAGGATTTTGCTTTCCTAGTTCTTGAAGCATGGGCTGCCAACAAACACAAATAATCACTCGGGTTTTTATTACTACAACATATATTACCAATAAATTAATAATAGAAACGAAATATTTCAAAAAAAGGGGAACAAATACCTGCAAGATCTGTGGGTTTGCCTGCACCATTGCTCTCAACGCTTGGAACTGAGGCAGAATATTAAGAACATGGTCATGTTTTCATAATTACCATAAGTAAAATCCCTTAAATGTTGTCTTTCAAGCTCACACATTAAAATAACCCAAACCAAAAAACAAATAAAAAACAAAAATTAAGAAAAATAACCCTACCTGTGGATTATTACGTAGAAAATCTAAGGCATTCGCTCCACCAGCATTTGAGCCCATAGTTGGAAAGCCCTGTAGACGAGTATCAAATCCCGTCACCCAAATAATTAATTCCACTGAGGTGGACGAAAAATAATAAAAAAAGAAAAAAAAATCAAGAACCTGAGGAAAAAGATCCAGTGGATTTGCATTGGGTCCCACTGAAGGTACAGGAGCTGGTTGAGGCTGAGCTGGCACATTAGCAACTGGAGCTGGAGCTGGAGCTTCTGCTGGTTCGGGAATCCCCTGAGATACACCAAACACGAGTAACGACGTTAAATAATCTACATCAGAAGATGCTATCAGCGAAAAAATAATACTACCATTATTAAAAAGATTTGTAAAGTTTGCATCGTGATAGAGAAATGGAGGATAGATTGACAAGACTTACGGAGTATAAATAATCAATTGCTCTCTCTGGATTGTTGTAAGCAGCGCGAAGGGCTCGTACAACTGTATCTCTGTCCCAAATCCCCCCACCCATATCAAGAATCTGCTGGATTGTTCCCTCGAGAATATTCCCAGCTACAAGATTAGATGCCGCTTGCCCATACACATCCGATCTGTAAATATACAATTAAAAAAATAATTAAAATAAGTGTCTCAAAATTTATCTGTTGAGCAGGAAAAAAATCCGTATTAGATGGATACTCACGCATCTTCAGCAGCAGGAATAGGAGCAGAAGTAGGCGCAGGCGCAGCACTGTGACATATAAAGATAAATAAAAATCGTGCAATAAAAATTTAAAACATTAAAAAAAAAAACTCGATCATGGATAAATGCAATATTATAATGCAAATAGAAAAAAAAAACTCACGCTGGTGCAGGTGGTTGAGAAATTGTGGATGGAGTTACGGATACTGGAGTGGAAGTAGGTGGCTCGCTTGTTTGTGGTGCCTATTAAGGAAACGAGACAGCTTAAATACGTTTATGATTCATGCAAATATATATTATATATACATAAATATATACACACACAGTTATATCTTAATTCATAAGTGTATATCGTGATAAGATCACAAAAATTGCAGCTATTAATTCCGTGAAGATACAAAAGATCTAGTAGAATAATGGTGAAATTAAATCAAGAAACATGTTTAAATGTTTAACCAAACATGGATAGTTCATACGTGAGAGAGAATTTTTTTTCATAATAATAATAAATAAATAAATAAATGCGGTATACCTTCGGAGTAGGCGCACGTGATGTTGTTGAGCCTTCACCAGAGGATGCCTTCTGCTAAAACATTTTAATCACGAGTTTATTAATACACTATCACAGCCAAAAAGGAAAAAAAAAAAAAAAAACCAATAGCAAAAGTACGTGCGTAATTTCAGCCTTCCACAAGTTGAGCAAATTCATGTTGACATCTGGCATGCCGACGATAAGTATCGGTTCCAGTGAGTTTTAAGAACTAGCTGACTAATAGATTTTAGCATCTGTTTGACCTAATTTTCATTTTCTCCTATAGTTTAATACACATACGCTTCTTTCGATATCGTTATTCTATAAATATATAAACCGAAGGCTAGATATTCCACCGTAAACTTCCCAAATATAATTACCCCCCATTAAATATTGGATTGTTGCTATTCTATGAATAAGTGCATCAATTGAATCAGTATTTTCTGCTAATGTAATTGGTAATTATTAATTAACAAGAGATTGAATTTTACCTTTGTGAGCATAACGACGACAAAACTATTTTCAGCAACCTTATTCTCTTCCAAAGTAGTGGCATCTTTCAAAACTTTTCCTTGATGAATAAGCAACTGCTGTGTAGCAGGATAAACATCTGCCCCTTGCGTGTTTTCGACCGTCTTTTTCACGTCCGCAATCTGCCAATTTCGAAATTAAAAAAATAAATTAAAAAAATCATCTTCGTGAGCTCAATTTCGTAAAACACAAACAAAGCACCAGTTAAACTAACATAGATCTAACGTGACAATTACGAACTAAAATAAATACGGCAAGACAACGATTTCTCCTAAAAAATATTAATCGAGTCTGATCCACCCATACTTGGGCTAACAATTCCTCTTGCGGAAACTAGGGTTTCTTATGCAGTTAATAATGTCATCGAATAAGTTGCTAAATTGCTACCAGTAAACTGCTAAATTTGAAATTCAAAATTCCATTGCTCAAAATTAGAAACATACTGAATGTGGTTTTCGGTGAATCATCAACCAAGCCATAACAAAGAAATTCACATTGAAAGCAGACATCAAATCAATAATACTAAATTAAACAATTATTAACATCATAATTCTTCACAATTCGACACGAAAATACGCACTTGATCTCAGAACTAAGCTATAATACTGATCGAACTAAAAAAAAAATTCCCCACAAAAAAAATTATAGGCAAATTTCGTACGGAACTTTGAAATTAGAAAAAAAAAATTAATTAAAAAAAAAAAAAAAAAAGCCGAACCGTGTCATCGGGTTTCACTTCGATTTCGAAGTGGGTACCCTTGAGCGTCTTCACGAAAATCTTCATCTATTCAAATTTCGTGATTTTGGTGAGTAATTTTTATCGTCTGCAAATATCAATCGGAGAAAGTTGAAGAAAAAAACAAACAGCAGGGTACAGAAAACCCGACGGTGCAAGTAAAGAATTTATTTTTATTTATTTATTTTATTTTGGAAAATTTTATTTAAAGGCACACATCACACGCGCTATGATGATCGTGAGACGACGAACAGGCAGAGTATCAGGTATGATTGGGTCGTGAGAAACACGATTACGTAAAGCAAATAGCGTTTGCCAAAACAAGGGATTCGGGATTTGTAGGTGATGTTTATCTTACTACTGGGTATTGTGTACTTTGACTTGGTGCTTGGGCTTCCTTTGGAAAATATGTTGGGCCCGGCCCGAGTATAATCTGCACGGGTTGCATTACTAAATGGGCTCGTCAGCCCATCTATTTGGTCTTTCATGAGATGGGCCTAAAAATTTGAAGCCCGTTCACAAATAAGACTAGCGGCTAAAATTGTAACATAAATTCCGAATTCCGTCGATTTCAACCCGATTTTTTTCGATATTGGAACAATATTTTTCATTCCGAACTCCAGAGAGTAGCTGATTTTGATCCGAAGTTTTTCCATTCCAGCTTCTAAAATTCCAATTTATTTTTTTCCTGAATGTAATAAATTTATATATATATATATATATATATATATATATATATATATACACACACGCGCGCGCGATAATCGGTCCCAATCGGTATATTTACATAGGGACGACGAGTTGATAGGGCAATTTGGTAAAAACAACCCACCCCTATATGTAATTTTTACATGTAAACAGTACTCGAATACTATTTTAAATATGCAGAAAATAATTACATAATCAATTATATAATAAAAATATTCTCCTCCTAGAATATAAATACAAAGTATTTATTTTATTTCATTAATTCCGAAAAACAACTTGTGAACTCAACAAAACATAACCTTAATCCGTGTAAAACTAAAAGGGTTACATCTGTGCACATACACCTATTTTGAATATCAGTATTACTAAAAGATTTTTCAGAAACAAAAAAAAAATTAAAAAATATTGACAGTAATTCAGCCTAATAATTAATAAAATTAAAAAAAAAAGAAAAAAGAAAAACGTCTATCCTATAATCCTATTGGGCGGGTAATGTTTCGGGCCTCCATGCAAAATCACCGGGCCCCAAGCACAGATCGGAGTAATCAAACAACCCATCCAACGCCACGTATTCACCGGTATAGCCGGTAACCGACTCTCCGAATTCCAATCCGAAGGGGTCATAATTAGGGATCTCCCAAAACTCGGATCCGAGTCCCGACGAGTCGGACTCAGCCCGGAGACCACTTTCCAATTCACCCGGAGACGACGCCGTTGGGGGTATCCCAAGCTCGTCATCGGAAGCCTCCAGCAAGTAACCAAAATCAGGCAGTGACTCGCCGGAATCCGACGTGAGATCCACCACCTCCGCCGCATCTCTGGCGGCGGCGGCGGAAGGAGAAGCTGTGATCTCCTCCTCAAAGCTCTTCATGAACGAGTCGAGATCCTGAGTCTCGGTGCAAAACTCGGCATCCTCGTCGAAACCGTCGAGAAGATTCTCCCTGAGCCTCTTCACCGCCGGCGAGTCAATATCCAACTCGGACTCGTCCGAGTCACCTCGCCCCCTCTTCGTAACCTTCAAATCTTCCATTATTATTATAGAATTAAAAAACAATACAATTGTTCCCACCAAAAAAAGTGTGCCGTTACAGTGAATCAAAATAGTTTTAGAGAGAAGAAAAAAGCGAATTGTGCGATGATGGGTTTATTTCTGCGGGAATTGGGAATTTATAGTAGGATGGAAATTTAAAAAAAAAAATGAGAGAGAGGAGAGAGAAAGAGAGAGGAGAGAGAAAAAAAGGGGCAGTGATGGTGACGTGTGAGAACATGGGGCCAAATCACGGACATCTCGGCAATTGTATGTTGGCTTTCCTTTGACGTGTCTTCTCATCCGCTGTCTCGTATTCTTGGTGCTAACTTTTTTAAGTTTTTTTCGTTCTCGAAGTCCGGAATTAACTGGATTTTAATGGGCGTTTGGCGTCCGTTTGTTAGTGGAGTGGGGCCCGCTTGTGGCATAGTCAATCACGATCGCGGAATTTTCTTTTTTCCTTTTCTTTTTTTCTTTTTTTATTTTTTAATTAATAGATTTAAATCCGTCGGCACCAATCACACGGATGGGACCCGTTTGTTTGGGTGTTTTGATGGGTTTCTTTCTTTTTTAGTCCGGGTATTTTGGGCCAGCAGAAATGGGTGGGAGAATTGATCCAATGGCCCAGATTTAACGGTACCTAATCCTCACTAATTCGGACATGTTTATCGCCTTCTTTTAGCTTTAAACACTATCTTAAAATAGATTACACCTAAGATATTTTCCTAGTAGGCTCTATTAATAGTATAGCATAGATACCAATTATTTTATAACATTTTTATTGGTAACCTGTAGAACCGGCAATTGAACCGACCCTAACCAAAACTCGATGGCTTATATTTGAGTCGAACTTATCTTAGAGAGTCGAAATAAATCAGAAGTTCGAAAAAATGCACGAACCGAGTTTTAGCCTATAATAATGAGGTCGATGGTATATATGAACTTGGGCCTATAATAATGGGTACGATGGTATATGAGGTTGAGACAATCCAAACTCGATTCACATGGCTTAATTGACAATCCTAGTTACATTGTGTATCAAGTATAATTGTAGTTCTCAAATATCCCATAAGGGATAATTTATGTTATTATATAGTTTGTTGAATTATTTTTTGTAATTCAAATTTCAAAAGTATCATTACAATTTATTTTAAAATTTGAAAATCATTTTTCTTTCTTCATGTTGCATCATATACATTTTTTTAATGTCTTAAATATTGTAATTTCTATCTTATATTATATTTCAAATTCAAATTGTGTCATGTGTACATAATCAATTACAAGGTTCCACCGCCTCAAGATTGATCAATCCCACCTCACGAATAGTCGACTCCATTGAATAGGGCTGGAAAAAAAATACCGATTACCATATACCATGGTATACCAACCAAGGATTACCGAAAAATTACCGAAAGAACGGTTACCATTGTCTACGGTACGGTATTAGTACCGTACCATTACAATATGGTACGGTATTGGTATTGTATTTCTAATACCACGGTAATACCGTACCGTACCGCAATTTACATTTTAATCCGATTAATATGTTTTTTTCAATATTATTTTTTGTAATTCTATTTTGTTACTTAGAATCTTATAAATAGCAACAATTATTTTTCCCTTAAGTTAGTGGTCGTGTATTGTTTTTTTTTTTTTTCCTACCAAATTGATTTTTGCAATTGAACATATATGTTCTACTAAAATGTCTTTTATATTCCCTATAGCCAACTAATTTTATTATATATGATGTATGAATATTTCATTTTTTTACCTACATGTATGTATAGCATTAGTTAAGTATTTATTATATGTAATAATTATTAAGTACAATCAAGTTCCTAACAAATACCTAGTTCTTCCATTAAACAACATTTACATTATTATGGCATACGTTCTTGTTTCAATGAAGCAAATTATGTTAATTATTCCGATTATACACCGGACCTTCTTAGAAAATAAAATACAACTCATACAAGAGTAACTAGAACTATTTTCAATTGGGATATATATGTATATTTTTAACTCATTTGTTCTTTAATCTTTGATGCATCACCAAGTACGGTAGAGTACCACGTACCGATTATACCGTACCGAAAATAACGGTATACCGAACATTGGTATACCGAACTTTTTGGTACGGTAACGGTATGAAATTTTTCAATACCGCAATGTACGGTAGGTACACGGTATTGAGCCAAATGTTTGGCAACCGTACCGAATCCACCCCTACAATTGAAGGTTGCTTTACATTATTTCAATCGACCTATTCACACAATTATTACAAGTTTTAATAATATTGATCAATTCGCCATCAACATTAATATTGGTTTTAGAAGAGAGAGAGAGAGAGAGAGATAGAGAGTCCAGGGGAAAGAAATTGACCAGAATTAATGCTCGAGCTTAAAAAAATGTAGTTACATTTCGTTCGATAAGCAATCGAGTCGGGTTGAAACATATTTTAACAGAGACAGGCATGAATTAAACTCCCGTAGTTTTATTTTTTAGTGCATATTTTTATAATTTTCTAATCAAGCTCGATCATATACCGAGTTTCATAATTTGTTGAATAATAAATATACAAATTTGAATTGTATATTAACGAAACGAGTTAAAAATAGTTTAGTGACTAGTGATTAAAGATAGGCTAGCTAGTGGGAGAATTAGCCGTTGATGCGCAATGAAAAGTCACGTGAAAAGAAATCAATGCTTGCAGCTAAAGATCATGATGCATGATCATTACGGTGTGTTGCAGCAGATTAGGGCCCGCATGTTGTACCTCGTGGTTAAGGTACAGTCGGTTAAAGCGTGTTTCCCATTGTCGGGTACGTACAACCACCTACCGGATTCTTACCCATTTCTTTTTTTAAAGTTAGATTATATATTGGACCGGATCCACTAAACCAGCCGGTCTGATCCACTTTCCACGTGGTTGTTCGACCGAATCAGATCGGAGTTCGTGGTTAATTCAACATTGGCCCGGCCCATTTATTACATATAATAATAAATGGGTTATACTCAAATTACGAAAACCCCTCAAGTTTGAATAATTACAACCACCCCTCAACTATGCATTATTTTACGAAAAAACCCCTCAAGAGGTAAATTTAGGGATGTTAAATCGGTTAAACCAAACCGAAATTTCGGTACGCCAACATTTCACCCCGTTTACCGAACTGAATATACGATTTTGTTCGGTAAATAACCAAAGTACATAAATTTTATGTAAAAATATTTTAAATGAAGGTGGTGGCTGTAATTACCCAAACAATAAGGGTTTTTTTGTAATCTGACAATACCTCAGAGGTGGCCGTAATTTGCCCAAAAATATATTATATTATATTATACAAAAATAATAGAATCTAGAGTTCAATGGAGTCTATCATGATTTAAGATGGCTTTGCCTGACCTACGGGTGTAAACAAGTTCGAATTCTTCGAGGATTCCTCACTTGGCGCACAAACAACTAAGAACGGGTTCGACCTCAACTCTTCAGAAAACTTAAGTTCGAGGTCGAAAAATTTGAATTTGAGTTCGAGCTTTTGTCGAGTTGACTCACCTCATTTACACCCCTAGCTAGCCCGACCTAACAACATTTTCAATAATTTATGTAAAGTCTTATGAAACCTACTAAAATAAAGAGTCTTGAATTTAAAAACTAGTCGGTCAATCACAATCAATATGCTGAAAATGCAGCCACAATTTAATTAGTCAATTCAAATAACTAATAAAAGTCATATGTTTATCGCGTTTTCCATTTACAATGTGACAAAAGATGCTATTATTCTTGAGGAAGATTCCTTAATTTGTGAGGACTGTCCACTCATAAAAAAAATATACTATAAATATAAAAATATATACAAAGCCAACATTGGAGAGTCTACCTGTAATTAATACTTTAATGAGAAATTAATTAAGATTAAGATGCACTTTACCTGAAAAAACAATGTTTTAATTGGTTAATGGTTTTTAATATATCTCCACACAATGAGAAATGAGAATGATGCCCTATAGTTAGTGGAAACATGTTTTCCGTCAATGGTGATGGCAAATGGTGTTAAATAGACCAAAAAAAGTAAAAAGAAGGCCACATCAAGAATATTGCATTATTGCTGTACTGGCTAACAAAAATATGAACAATAATAATGCAAGTTGCAAGTGGAGTGTTTGGTAACAATTTTTCGCGCCGGCGAAGCCCGGCTATTGACGGTTCATAATCGAATTAATGCCGTGTTTATTTCTGTGTTATTTGAATGTACTGTAAAGTTAGGGTTTGCATATTTTCTGACACCAATTTGTTTTATGATAACTTGTAGCGCCTAAAATCTTGTTACTGTGATAATCGATATTTTATCATGATTAAGAAACTATATTATTGGATTTGATCTTCAATATATTAGATTGAGTATATATGATTATGATAGCACTATATATATGTATGTGGTTTCTTTATAATCATACATATGTATGGTTTCACTCATATTGGATTATGGGCCACAAATATTTTTCAATATATCATTATTTATGTGGTTGAGTTTAATAATAGGGTTATATACTAGACAAAAAATATTTTAATAAAAAAATCTGAAACATAAAATTATTTGTAGGGTTGTCATAATTCATCTTTTTAGATGTTGAATTAATAAAATATCTAGAAGATTTTTTAGATCCCTGCTAGAAAATAGAAATAACGAGGATCACACAGTGTGGCGTGGTATGTTGAAAAGTCTAACATTTGTTTCCATGTCTGTATATTGTTATT